AAGGATCTCAGCACTTGCACTCTCCCCTAAGTCCTGATGTGAAACATCAATATTCCCAAGTCACTGCACTACTACCACTTCTCAGAAACATTTCCATGCCTCCCTGATGTGACTCTGATTACACATGCCTACCAATTACAGAATTTGTTTCTTCATGGTCTGTAAGAGCAAAAAGTGACAAGTCAGCAAAACGGCTTATTCCTTTCATGTGATAGGCAAGGATTGCTTTGTCTGTTCCCACCTCGGGGGCTGGGACCGCCCCAGAGGCCGCAGCTCTGAGCCCTCTGACTCACTCCCCACTGACAAACCCCCAGAGCTGGCAGAGGCATCCCTGCTGCACCACGACTGAGAAAAGCAGGGAGAGGAAAAGAAAGGCAGGCTCAAGGAAGCACAACACAAAAAGAAAGCCAGTGACAACACGTGGCCAAGGATAATGAAGCCTGAAAGGAAAGCTAAATAGCCTATTAGCAAAGCTATTTCATTAAAACCTGATGGGCAATTGCAGGGAAAGAATTTTATGTACAACCAAGGATGGCAGAAGCCAGCTAGACACATGGGGGAGACTGGAAGACAAGGCAAAACTGCAGAGCTGATGCAGAAGGAGGAACTGACCTTCTTCAGATCAGAAAATAATCTCTGAGAAACTGATGAAATACAAAAAATATATATCTCTACATATTTGGCCTCTATTTATCAGGAAGTTATATCTTTCCAAAAAAATTCAATAAAAATAAGACATGGATATAACACATCCAATATCTAAAATGTATTTTGTGCATTCAAATCTCAGCATAAGCGTTTGAACTTGCAATATTTTAAATGCTATTTAGATCTTGCAGTCTTTTATTAATTCAGTGTTTCTGAATAGGAATTTTGCAATTGCAAAAAAAACCCCAGAAAACCACACAAAAAACTCCCACAAAACATACAAAAACCCCCCACCACAACATCAAAGAGGAATATGTATCAAAGCAAAGTGCTTAACCACACAGATTTCAATACGAAATTCAATATTCCACAAAGGTTTTCATGAACACTTAATTGACCTCTGGGGACTTAGTCCCCAAAGCAGAATTTAGTACAGAAAATTAAACTTATATTTTGCATTGACATGCTCATTGCTAGAAAACCAATGGATTATTCTAAGTCAGCAGGTGTGGGTAAAATACAAAGTAATATTTGATTAAACCAACGTTGAAATCATAAAAGACTGTTGTTACATGGTACTCCACCCTCTCCAGGCCTTTCCAAAGAAAAATCCTAGCTGGAAACACAATGTCACAGTCATAAATAAAATAGCAATCATGTACATTTGTAACATCTTCAAGGAACACTGTCAAAAGTAGCCAGTAAATACAGTATGCTATTCCCAGAAGGCTGAAGGAGTAGACTCACTCGACCTAAAATACAACTGCCTTCCATAGGAAAATGTCATACCAAAAGGAAGACCACAAACAAAACCCAAAACAAACAAACAAACCAAAAAAACCAAACATACAAGAAACCCTACAAAACCCAGCAATCCCAGGGAGCTGCATTTCCTGTTATCTGACTGGAAAATGATACTTAAAACTTCTTTTACACTTAACAGAACATTTTCTATCTCACAGCATCTACTCTTTACTCACTTTGTTCATAGAGTACTCATAAAAGCCCATTCATCTAAATTATCCATTTTAAATTGGCAGTTAAACAGGTAGGCTAGACAAAAATAAATAATCCTTCAACACCATTTTGAAAGACTACTTTTTTGTATAGGGGAAACAAAACATAGACTTTCTGCTCCCAAGCTATTGACATTATTTATTGAGAATATTCCCCTGAACTACTTAACAAAAGCCTAAACCATTCTGACTCTCAGCAGCAGCACCTGTTCCACCTCAGTGGTTCATACACCAGATCAGGACCCTGACTCTCTTCCTTTCAACACCAAGCCTTCTCTTTTCAGTAGAAAGGAGGTTGACATCAAATATCTCAGAAATTAAATCCTGACAACTGCTACCTACCATTAATTACCCAGGCCTGCCACTTGCATATAATTCCCTGTGGGAAGGCTCAAGTAAACAATACATAGCTGAATTAAACGTGACATATGAAGTTCAGATAAAAGCGCCAAAAGCTGTTACCATTCTCCATTAAAGCATACTGGTTTCACCAGATGGGATTGTAAGGAAATTCCTCAGTAACCACCAAAGCATTCAGTACATTATCAAAATTTTATTTCTTCCTTCAGAAAGAAATGAAGCATGAGCTGAAGACACCTGAACTCTTCTGGTGAAGACTGGCATTCAGACTTAATATACTGAATGTGCTATTGTGACTAGAAGTGTGGGCTACTGGTCTGAATTTCTCAGAAGAACAATCTCATTTGTACATTGGTTTTAATCATAAGATAATTTGCTTTGAGATCCCCATTAGCAGTGCATTACAGGAATTTGTGTGCCACAATCTATGAAAAAGAGCTGAGTGCATGTTCTGACAAGCTGGGGAAAGCGCAAGAGGCAATTATTTCAGTAACAACAGCAGCACTGTTTCTCCAACTGGTTTTATAATACAGCCTGGCCCAGGAAATGATAAAAAGCTCTTACAGAACTATGCAGAAAGGGTAAGACAACATTGATAAGGAAGCTTCAAAGGATTTGAGATAACACTTGATGGGAAAAGTGGAGAAGCTGCCTGCCTGGCCTGTCTGGGCGAGGACCCTTCCACCTTGCAAGGCAGAGCCAAAACGAATATTCATCCCTGCTGTCTCAGCAGCACTGTTCCAGGTCAGGAGACTACTGTACTGTTATGAGCCCTTTTTTTTTTTCCCCTAGGGATTTCTTTATTCTCTGAAATCTGTTGAAGTAACTACATGCATTACTTGTTTCCTAAGGCAGTTTCCGACTATTTCCTTTGATTTAAAATAAACACATTAATGGCTCAGGTTCTTGTTTTCTATGGGTGCTTTTTAAAGAAAAACAACACAAACCCAGCAAAGGACATCCAATTTCAGGTGCAGGTGTGTCAGAGAGACCACTTAAACCCTTATATCACCACTGGTACTGGGGAAGGTTTGTGCGGAGAGGAAATAACAATAAATCTCACACATTTAGCCAAACAAGAAAACTACAGAATTTCACTTCAGGAGCAACTGCAATCTCACATCTACTATGCTTCATACAGCAAAACTATCCTCTTCCTAAAGCTGACAGATATTCACCTGTATTCAAAACAAAACAACAGAACCCAAAATGAGTCACATAAACACATGAAATGCATCCTTATGCAAGTTTGCCCTCATCCTTCTTAGGTACACCAAATTGATGAAATACCAAGAGAGCGTGGTCAAAATCCCTGAAAGATGCTCAAAGATTAGTCTTAAACAAAAAGCATACACTCTGTCAGGAACTTAAAGTATACCACAGACAAAACTAAGAAACATCCTGCTATAAACTATAAATATACTCAACAACCACTTGAATAAATGTACCAGTACCTAGCCCATAACTAGAAATCCTATTTTCCATTATAAGATTTCACCCTTCCCAATAAACAGACCCATGCTGATAATATTAGCTACAAAACAATTAACATAGGATGCCCCTTAAAATATTTGTCTCTTCCTAGATAAGAGAACACAGATTCTTTGGAGCATGTGTTTACTATACACACATCCAAAATGAAATAAAGCTTAGTAACTCTCAGTGAAAAAGGAAGTTAAATATGTTCTCAATAGTGTGAAGAAGTTTGCTGGGGACTTTGAAATATACAGGCTGCATATTTGATTCAAATCCTTATTGCTGGTTTGAGAAAGATCTTTAGGATCTGTAAGAGAAACTGATCAGCTGAATTTAAGAAATTGTATGATACCATATTGGGACAAAGTGATGTCTTTACATGTTAGCACAGTGACAGACACACTAAGTGATGCTGTTTAGGGAGAGCACATGAGTCTGGCCACTCCCTGTGGCCCATTTCTCCTCCCAGCATCCATCACATCAATACAAATATTAAAAGATCTACTCCTGCCTATTCCATTTAGCAGCTGTGTTGGATGTAGAATCACAGAATTATTAAGGTTGGAAAACACCTCAAAGATCATTCAGTCCAACTGTTAAACCAGCACTGCCAAGTTCATCACTGAACTGTGTCCCCAAGTGCCACAAACAGACATTTCTTGAACACTTCCAGCGACAGTGATTTCACCACTTCCCTTGGTAGCCTATTCCAATGCCTGACCGCCCACCCTTTCAGTGAATAAATTTTTCCTAATATCAAATCTAAACATCCCTAGGGCAAATGGAGACCGTTTCCTCATATCTATGAACCTGTCCAATCCCTTTTTGAATCTGCTGACACTATCTGTCTCCACTGCCTCCTGAGCTAAAGAAACACAGCAGCAACCTGCAGAGTTACCAAACCCCATCATGCTAATATTCTATGAATCACACAGAAACTGTGCACCACCATCACCTTTGCTGGGAGCACAGACAGATTCAGAAGACTCACTGTATTTAGAGAGAGGCAGTAGCTTCTGTTATACCCAAAAAAGCTTTCCAGACTTGATAAAGAATTTGCATAACTAAAAGCTTGTCTGCTCTTCCCAGCTCTATCAACAGATCTAAAAATATATTCATTCCCCCTACAAACCTAGCAACTATGCACTCTTTGGATGGTTATTGCAGTTCACTGTGAGACTGGTACAATTCATTCCTCCCCATTGAAGTATTCTTGAATACAAATACATGACTGTATCTGATTTGCTTCAATAAAACTAGGAAAAGTTTCCCAAATTTTGAGGAATATATGAGGAATAACTAGCTTACTTTTCCTTTTGACTCACTGCCAAGTGCAAGGAGTTTTCAAAATAACAAAAGCCTACAGAAAGATATACAGAAACAACTGCCCTGCTGACATTTAATTGAAGAGGTACAGCCTCTCAAGTTATCATTTAAACATATTTACAACCAACAGAGTTACAATGCAGCTGTTTAAGTTCCCTTTTCTCTTTATTTTACCTGTCCAGTCTCCAACGCCGGCTTGTAGCTTCACAAGGCTCCTCAACTTCATAGAAGTCAGTGCTCTGGTCTTCCATGCTGCTGGAGTTCTGCCATTCCGAGCAGAGATTTCTCCTAGCACCCATAGCAAAAGGCAAGTTCTCATACTCGGGTATTTCCTCATAGTGACGCACATTCTCGTACTCTGGATCACAAGTGCTGGTTACAGAATTCAAAGGCATTTGGGACAAATTCTCTCCCAAAAGTCCATGTCTTTCTAAAGACTCCAGCCTTTGGTTATTTCGCATCTCAGGCTGACTTCTGTTTCTCTGCCTTTTCTTCTGTAATGCCGGACTACTTATTTCTACGGAATGTGCCTTGGCAGATTTAGCTTTCCTTTCACTGCCTACAGACCCTACATGACTGCTGTTATTTCCATACCCATTCCCATTGGAAAGGTTGGCAATAGCACTCTCCACTGACTGGCTGCCTTTAGACAGAAATTTTTGGAAGTCACTTTTCTTTAAGCAAACCGACAATTTCATGTTCAGAAGCTTTTTCAAACTATTTTTCTTGTGATGGTCTTTGCAGGGCTTGTCTGTCCTGTCCATGTCCACAGCAGAGAGAGACTTGGCCCTAGGCTTTGTCACAACAGTCAGGTGGCTGAAACTGGCGGCAGTTTTTAATGATTCAGAATTTCCTGAAAAGGGAAGAATAGGATGAGGTAACTTCCAGATGGGTTTTTCAGAAGAACGTTTGGGTATGTCATAAGACAAAAGTGCATCCTGCTCCTTGGCTCGTGGATGTGCAAAGTGAGATCCTTCTAAAAGGCTGCTTGATTTGTCTTCACTGGAGGTGTAAGAACTTTTGTCCACAAGCTCTGCTGACGCAGCTTTTTTCAGCAGGCCAGCAGCTGGAAGGCCATGTCTCTGTGGCTTCTTAGGAATAACTTTTGGGGAACTCTCATCCTTTATTTTAAGTTCTTTATTTTCCAAGTTTTGTGGGGAAACATGGAGGCTGTTGGCAGCAAGTGAGTGCTGACTGCTTGCCAATTTGACCTGCTTTGGCAAACTCATGGACAGGGTATTACACCTGACAAAGTCAGTCCTTTTGTCCACAGCATCTGGTATACTGGTGTCATCTGTTGTCTCATCCACGAAGTTATGGTCTGCATTTAAAGAAGATTCAACATGTCTCCCCAAATCAGGACTTCCGTGTGGAAACTGAGGCAAAAGATTTTGTGAAGCTGACTCTTTCACAGCAGGCTCCTTTACCTGAGACATTTTTTCTGCATTGCTTTGAGTTACCTCACATTTTTCAGGATGAAACACTTCTGCATTATTATTATAACAAACACTTTGACCAAGGACATTAATTCTTGCTGGCTTTTTCAAGCTTTGGTCCACAACACCATGAGAATCTTTCTCTGAATTAGATGGTTCCTTTGTTCCTTCTCCTGTGCTGTCTATGCCATCCTGACGGACTAGACAGGCAGCACGTGGCTTTCTTGGCTTAGGGACAGGAAGCACTTTGGAGCTCAGGACTGAAGATGTTTCAAGGGAGGCTTTATCAGCATCTGCTTTCATCCCTACTTCACCTGAAAACATCCTATTGCTACTTAAATTTTCAATCTCTAGAGTTTCCTTGTCCAATGAGGAAGAACAACTGTGATTATTTTCAATCAAACTAGGACAAACTTCAGACATCTGAAACTCATCAGCAATAATCTTACCATCAGCGTTTTGTTGCTTCCCTTTAACAACCTCAGAAGATGACGAAGATTGTACAAGTTCCATAAACTCTATTTTAACATCATTCCTGGAACTGCTGCCATTCCCTTTGTCAAATTTGTCGGCATACCTGTGTCTCACAGGACTGCTGTTAGGAAACACACCATGAGTTAGGACATCCTTAAGTTTCTCTTCCAAAATGCTGGCTTTCAAAACCACCTGACTTCTACTTGCCAATTTTTCATTGTGACTATCCCCCAGAGACAGTGCATTTCTTTCACCAAGCTTGATGTTTTCTAAGGTGTCAAAGTGCTCGAGAATGATCTGAGTTTTACAGGTGTTCTCTCCATTTCCAAGTTTATGAAGACATTCAAATTTGCAAGGTGACACAGGTAGAATATATGCTGTGTTTCCAGTACTCCCTTCTGAGGTTTCATTTTTATAGTTCAAATGATCTAGAGTTTGAGAAGGATCTTCCCTGTGCTCCTCAAAGCTTTTTGTGCTTTTTCGTGTAGACGATGGAGGTTTAACTTCAGGGATGGAGGAGCTCTTGAGAACCTTTGGTTTCGGTGCAATTGCTGGCTTGGTTTTCCTTGCTGCTTGTATCCCACCAGAAAGTACAATATCAGGCTTCGGTGCGACAGGTGGAGGCGCTGCCTTGTGTCCTAGGACAAATTTTGGTTTGGGGGCCACTGGTGGCTTCTTAATTTCTAGGAAGGATGGAAAACAAAGACTTTAGTCACCACTGCCCACAGAACAACTTTACCTGCAATGCAGTAGCATTAAAAGTTTTGTAACATTTCTGATCCGCAAGAACTCAATGTGTGTATGGATACATTTTTCTCTTAAAAGCATGCCTTCCTTCCCTAACACCACTTCTTTACTAGTTGCCTTTCTTTGTTTAAATAGGCACATCAAGAAGTGGTAGGGAAGTTTTCAAAGTCTTTTCATAAACAAACAGTTTAACATAATATTAGTACATGTACTCCCTCACATGCTAAAGTCTGATGCCAAGAAAAGCAGAGCAGATTTGCCTGGTTCTGCAGTTTTAACTGCAATGCCCTTTTAAAACGTTGCAAGTATGTTAAGTGCCACACATATAATAAACCACAAAGACAATGGGACAGCCAGAATTGTGACTAGGGCAGTTCAGTCCCTTCCTCCACCACCTTGAGAAATGTGTAACCCAAAATTCCTCGTTCCCTTTCTCTCCTCTTCAAACAATACTGAGATGAATTACTGTACCAGCTGCAAAATTGGCATATCACTACCAACAGCTCAGTTAGTCTGTGGTATGAAGTTAGTGCAGTAATTTGTAGCAAGGCAGTACCTTTCTATTGTAAAACACTATTTCTGTGCCTTGTACAAAATTACCCTTCCCAACTTGTCTGACCTAGAAACAGTCACCACTATTAGGAATTACGACCCACTTGGCACAACAAGATGACTAATCCTAGGGAGAGTGTACAGCACTCAGGAAAAGGAGCTCGTGAGGAACTTTGAGATTGTAGAGTTTTGAACCTGTTGTTTGAGTAGCTTTGGGGTTTTTTGTTTGTTTGTGTTGTGGTTGCTTTTTTTTAAAGTATATCTGAAATATTTGAATATTTCAGGAGATTATTTATAACCAATTCATTTCCATATGCTGGAATGTTTTCAGATTTCTAAGAGCTTTGAGTGCTTTTTATATGTGCAAATTTATAAAGTAAACAAGCTTCTTGTACTGTTTATATATTACCTCTGTATTTACTACCCTTATTTTGACCAATATTTTAGCACACTTCCAGTAAGTTATATACAAGTTAAATAACACCCTCAAGAAAACACAGTAGTTAATGTTTCACATGCAAATAGATGGGGTAAGCCATTAATTTATTGTTCCCTTTGAAGTGTGGGTTTGGTGTTTGGTTGTGTTTTACCACCATTATTACTATAGATAGGCACTCTATCTTAATCTCTGGTTTAGATTAGAATGAAGTTTCAAAGGTTAGGTTTGTTTTGTAGGGATTTGTTTGTCTGAAGGAAATCTAGATGGGTAAAATAAAAAATTCAAAAGGACAGATGCCCTCAGTTGCAACTACTCCCTAAACAGCAAGCCACTGCTCTAAGCAGAGAGCCAGAAACAGTAAAACCATGTTTTTCTAGGACATGAATCACTAAATGGTACCCAGCCTGCCTCTACCTACACTGAGAATGGGTGCCCTTGCTGCCATTATATTAGTGAAGAGATAAAACTCTGATGGCAGAGTCTCTGATGTCTCTGATGGCAGAAACAATTTTTATGAAATTTTACAAGAGGGAATCCAGAATTTCTTTCCAAAGGTACAGCTCCCTATAGCCACTGACAACAATGAACCAACTGCAACTTACTTCTAAGGTTATCCCACTTTCTGCATCCCATCTAAAGGCAGGTGTCAAACCCACAGAGAAATGAATCAACAATTTGCTAGGAAAAAATAAAATTAACTCTTTAGGTGGGTAACTAGTGATCCTGAGGAGCAAAAGAGAGCTGTACACCCACTTTCAGACAAGTCAACTGCTTATTCAATTGGAGTATGAGGTGATGGCAATAAAGGAGCCTGTGTTCCATGGTAGAAAAACAAAGAAGGCATGCCCAGTTTGTCACAGAACACAACACAGTAGTAGACCTGGGCCATGCTCAGCAATATTTACTAAGTTGTTAAAGCTCCCTGGAAACAGGAGAGAGACAGGCTGCTTTGGAACCCTTCCTGATGCCCAAGTGAGAGAAACAGACTGACAAAGATATGGGACATTAAACCCTGGCTAGGTAAGCAATATCCTGTGGATTGTTTTTCCCACACACAAACTGAAGTCCATAAACCTTGCAAGTTTCTCTCTATATAGTGGGAGTGCCTTACATTTTGGATACCACCAAACTAGATAACTCTGCAGGGCTTTTAACTAGTATTTATTAGGGAGCACACTCAGCAGTTATGATGTGACACTATTACCTGACTATAAACTATCAAAAACCCCCCATGGTTTAGTTTTTATTAAAACTAAACCATGAAAGTGTAAAGAAAAGCAAAGCAAACAGAACAGTCTCTAAGCCAGCGGAGGAAACCTGGATAATGACTAGAGCAGAAAAATTAACTTCTGATAATAAGTGCAATTCAACGTGATTTCTGAAGCCTACTAGAATTCTTCAAATTACTTCAATGTTAAAAAGCATTCAGGCAGACAGAAGAGACCAGCAAATTGTGTGGGATAATAAAGACAGCACTGTCTGCTTTAAACTGATTGCACATTACATCTAGAGTAGATGTGGGTCAATGTACTAACAGGCACATTACAGTCTTGGTATCAATACAGATCTGCAGTCAACCATCAGAAAGGAATGCGATGAAGAGCCCTTTCAAACATAAATGTGATGTGAGAGGAAAGGCTCCAAGAAGGAATGCATACCAGTAGTTTTCCTCAACAAAATATCTTTAAGTTTCTGAAGAATACAAGCAATGAACTACTTAGAAAAAAATTATAGCAGCTGACAAGGGTGAAAGTATAGTAGATTGACATTAGAAATTGAGAATCAAAGTTCAGTATAAACTAATTCAATTCATTGTTGGATGAAAACCACAATTCTACATAGCAGTGCTCTACAAGGGACAATTTCCCATCCAGAATAGAAAAAACATCTAAGTAGGAGGCAACTGTTATATATAAAGGTGTAAGGAATGACTAGATGTCATATGAGAATGACTTTTTGCTAAATGGCAAGCAAAAGCAAGGTAAAAACCAATAAATATAATCAAGGAAATGTTATAGAGCAAATGCATGGGGTAGTTAGTTGTTTGGACAGTGGGCTTTTTCCTGGTGCCATATGGAACTAGCTATTCATCTAAGGACAGAGATGGTTGGTTATGCTTAGGAGAGTAAAAATTGAAGAGAATTTGGAAATCGTTGTACATAGTTATTTTATGAGAGCTCCATGCAGGTCTGAAGCTAAGCAGTAAATAATCTGCTAAGTATAAAAGATGAAGGGAGTTGAAAATATTTCTGTACATAGTACCTACCAGACTGTTAGCGAAATGCAATGTCACCTTCCAGCAATCTTAGAAATAACTACAGAAGCATCCAAGGTCTAAAAGTTATGCTTCAAATCCCAAGGAAGCTCATCCTGGTTAATTTAACCAAGAATTTAAAAACTAAGATGGTAATAGAATATATACTTATGCACATGTGAAAGGTTTTGGGTAACAGATGGTTCTTGAATCGCAAAAAAAAAACCAAACCAAAAAAAAACCACCTAACCCTGATGAAATTCCATATTTGACCACTGAGGTTTGACATGCTCAAACTAGAAAGAAAACTCTAAATCTTATGAAAACTAAAGGATAATTAACTACAGAAATATCTCACCTAGTGTTGTGGGGGAGCCACAAGCACTTACAGGCAACCTAAACTCACTTTCTGACCTGTGTAGAATTTTCAGAGGGAACTTTGGACTGGACATTGGGTTCTCTAGCCTGTCATACTCAGGAAATTAGAGAATCATTATGATTTTCCCCACTCCCACCTCCAACCTTAACCCATTTCTCAAAGAGAATCCCTGCATCCAGGGATTCCAGTAATAAATGCAAATCTGAGTAGAAATATAAAATTTGATTTGCATAAACAGATGAAATGTTTCGGAGCCAGAGAAACTGTCAAAGAGATATCCTCCAACCTGTTTGACTATGCAAAGGAAGAAATCCATAAATAAAGTTACTAGCAATGCTGCCATTACCAACAGGAAATCTGCTGCTCACACAGGAACAGCCAATACCAGGCTCAGTGCTGAAGGAAAAAAAGTGCTTAAAAATACCAACACCTAACTCCCTTAGAAAAAGTAGATTTAAAAGGGCATTCCTTGTCTAACAACAAATTGCCATTAGCACCACCTCTGCAGATCAATGCACGTGCTCTCTGTCTGGCTTCAGGTCACAGCACAGAAACAGACATTTATCTCTCTGGTGAATTACATCCTTCAGCATGCTGAGGAAAAAGCAACACCCATTCTCATCCTGCTGATCTCCTCTGTGACCAACACTTGTTATTGCCTGGCTGGAAACTGCTCCTGTTCTTCCTCTGATTTGTTTCAGAGGAGGATGAGAACATCCTGAAACAACTTATACTTTCAATCTTTTGACCCTAAAGTGCTGCCCATTTCTGTTCTTCAGATGATAGAATTTGACAACCAAGGACCTCACTTAAAAACACTTGTGTGTCTTCTCCTATGCACTATCATGAGAATGAACAGAAAGGCCAGTAAGATATTGCAATCTTAAGCATTATTAATACACAGTCTTAAATCCTTCTCAAATTTTTATCTCTTGTTTTTTTCCCTGCCCCACATAGGAACAAGGAGAAACAATGATATGTGAAGGTGAACTGAGGCAAAAAATCAAATAGAACTACCCCATCTGCAATAAACCCTACTGTTGCTAAAGGAGTGTTTTTCCCAGGTAATCTTTATGCCAATACCTTTGAGATCATGTTAACAGCTTCCATATTTTGGAACAACAAAAGAACAGGAACAATGTTGACTTGCATCTGTCCATGAAAAGGGGACAAATGGTTCTAGGCACTATCAAGCTGATGTAACTTGATATTCCTTTCCTTACAATGCTTCATATGAACAGAGATTCTCCTTGTGGTATTCAGGATGCTCTATGGACTATCTCAAGTCACCTGGGCAGGATCCTGCAACCTACCCTAAAGCAATGCCCCTTCTGAACCACAAAACAGTAGGAAGAAAGTAAACCAATAAATCACTGTGGCATCAGATTTCGACAGCAACTCAGCCTAAGCTTAAGAAAAGGGCACACAAATTACTATGGGGTAAACAAAGGTGTGAATTTAACAGATCAGCTACTTTATAGAAGCTGGTGATATTATGAATACTCTTATCTTACCACACAATATATATGGCAGTTTATTTCTTTGCTGTAACCTATAAGGTTTATTCCTTATCTGCAACCTATAGGGTTACATATATTTCACATACTACTTGACAAATCTATTTCACACACACTAGGAAAAGAAAAGGGCTTCAAACAGCTACCACGCAGCAGCTGGCCTAGAGCAAATATATGCATTGGCTTTCTAGTGGCATCTTGTTTGCATATGCACACTGAATTCTCAGATACAGCAAATCACATCTGTAGGCTACATATGAAAATGATGCAATGCCCAGAAGGTATCTACCAAGAGCTCAATGGGCTGTTTTTCTCACATGAAGAAAGAGCTTGCTCCAACAGCCAATTTGCTGCTCCTGAGACTATTTTGGGCACAAAACCCTACAACTCAGTCTCGAAACAAGAAAGCCAATCTTGCTTTTAAGGAACACATAGGGAGAAAGAGAATTACTGCTATGTTTGGGATATGCTGAGAGATTATTGCACTGGCACTCAATACACTGCAGAAAGAAACACATAAATATTCTAAAAATCCTGTTCTCCAGCAGCCTAAATTTTAAAGACTCATTACAAGGCTTTTCAGGTCAATTACTTTGTTTTCAGTTACAAAAAGAAAGTTTCATTAGGTAAACGCCTCAAAAAAGTATTGTGTGATCATTAATTTATTTCCTGCAAATGTTTATTTATTTTTTCATTATGGAGAGGCTCTGATTTTCTCAGGTGCCACAATGCTCAAAAGAAACAAAAAAAGGAATGAGTCACAACATCCCGGAAGATAACACATGTAGTTTTTAAAGTACAAGGGAAAACTGAGGTTTCCAAGCCACTAGTTTTAGAAAACATCCTAATTAAACTGCAAAAACATCCATTTCAAAATCTTAGGTTGTTCACTGACTTATTGAAATAAAACAGGAAAGTTAGGGATAACTTCAGAGCAAGGACAAGAGATGAATAAACAACCTTTTAAGATCACATGCAGAGACAGAGCTGAGTAACCCTAATGAGACTTGACACATTCGAGGGTTAAAGGGACATTAAACGCTGCAGGCCTCATTTTTTTTCAATCCTTGAAAGCAATGAAGTTTGATTGGAAAAGTCATGTTGATTTTGTTTATTCTGTTCCTGCTATGTTTTTTCCATTTGAACTACATTTCTGACATTAAAATACATTTTTCTCATTGTTGTTGTCAAATCCAATTTCAAGCCTAAGTTATACATTCTGCCCACATTAAATAAGCTCTATAGATTCACATATAAGGACTGTTTCTTCAGCAAGAAATAATAAATGTCAAACTCATAACTCTGAGCTTTTGTTTTTTCCTTTTAAAGGCAAAGCACATACTTGAAGCCAGCATAATACTTTCAGGCAGAAATGAGTAAATGGACATTCATTGGCATCATGGATGTAGTGTGTGTATATATATAAATATATCTTGTGCAGTGCATGAGAAAGCAATGGCAGGAGTATAGGTGTAAGTGAAGATTGAAACCAACATATGGGTTGATCACTACAATGAGATCATCTTCAAATTATATAGAAGTATTTTTTAAAAGTGCTATAGTTCCTTAGCTGCAACAATTCCAGACTCACATATACATTTTAAAACATGTAAGCAACAGCTGTGGCAGAACTCCATCATGGAGTTATGTTAGTTCTGGACTGAGATGTAACTGAAACAATTCTGTAGAGGAAATAGAAAAGATACACAGCAAGACATTATTTAGAAAGGCAGAAGGTAAGCTGCAGCAAGGTTAAGGCTGGGTTATCAATCTCAGACCTTTTGGAATTTCTGTCTTTGGGGAGAAGCTGTGTTTGGGGTTTCTCCCCATACCACAGTCCCCTCAAACAGCACAATATCTCTCTTAGAGAAAAGCCCTGCATATCAAGCATACACCTGCAAATGCTATATAAAAAAAAATTAAAGCAATACAGATGATGGTGTACCATGTTGCTTTGTCCTAAAGGTACATTAAAAGAAGACCCAAGAGAAGCACTTAGTCCTTCAAGTCAAACTGAAGGAAAGATTTCTAGCATTTCAAGTTCCACCTGAAGCCTTCACAGACAATAACATTTTTACAGAAACGCTGTATTACCAACCAGTTGTCAGAAAACTGGCTGAGTAAGAACTGAATTTCAGTGTAGGAAACAGATTCTATAGAACACAAGACTGAAATTCAAATACAGGAGTTGATAAGTTTGTATGTTTTTTATGAACAATAGCTTTATAAAGAATGCCTGTATATTACAGGCACTAAGTTCTGCAGCAATAACAAGAGAGAGATATTAAACCTTCAGAACTGTCTTCTGGAAGTCTTCAGCCTTTTCATACCCTGCCTAGGAGCTCCTTAACTGAAATGTCAAAGGCTGTCATGATGCTGTCAGCAGGATCAGGAATCTCTAATCTTGTTTCACCTATTCCCCATGCATTTTATCTTCACATAATACATCACACACAAAATACTCTTCATCCCCTCTTAAATACCCCTCATCTTCCCTCTTTATGCCCCAGTACTCTTTATGCCTCCCTCTTGAAAAACTTGCTAAAATTTAGATTTGTCATGAAACTGTCCCACTTTCTCATATTCCTCAGTATCCCTTATTCTCTTTTGCTTACTTTGTTCACCTGAACCCCTTTGTCCTCGCCTTCCCCATAAAAACCACCACAATGTACATTTAAAATCGATTTAGTCACACCATCTAAGATCTAAAAGTCATGAAATCACTGTTAAGTACTGAAAATCTACCCAACTTTCTGAAACTTAGTACGTATCAAATTTTAACAGCCCAGCTCTTGAGCACCCCCTAACACTTATGTGCACAGCTGTTTAACTCTTAAAGGATCAGTGTGAACTGCACAGTCGGCAGCACTACTAAAAACGGGAACTTACAATGCAGCTGGTTAAGCAGAGATAACCTGCTTTATTACATGCTTTTCAAAATCTAAACAAAATCACTTATATCAAACATATTAAAAATGGAAATGCTTTAAATGAAGCAGAAAGATGCATTAAATCGCTTTTCATTTTCCAGTAAATTCTGATTAGCTATGAGAGCTCAGATAATTAACGCTGGAGTCAATAACAACTTGACATACTTGAGAGGCAAACACTGAGAATTAGGTAGATATTTTTGCTTGATAACTGCGTATTGCTTTTTCTTTAGAACACCCACCACCACCCCAATCCTTGCAGGAAGCACTTTGCTGCTTCCCGTTTAACCCTACAATTAGCTATGTTTCCATCCAATACATCATAATTTACACGACAGGTTTTCAATGCAGAAACGACTCCTGTTAGGCAGATAAGAAAGGAATCTACGAATCTAACAGATGTCTGAACAAAAGCGCTAAGTTAGCACACCACCGTGCAAGCAAATATAAATAGGAGCAATTCCCTTAAACACGGGGTGCTCTTGTTCTGAACCAAGAATTTGCCTTGGAGCTCTTTTAGTCAGTAAATTGGCAGCGGTCAAGAAACGGGGGAGGAAAGGTAAGGAAAGCACTGAAGTAGGTCAGTTCCAACCCGCAGCTGGAAAGGCCAGAAGCGAACGCTTTCCAGCACCCCCGCGGGGCTCCTGCGTGCAAGATCCCGGCCAAGGCAGGTACATCCCAAGCAAAGCCGCAGCTGACAAACTCTCGCGGCTCCGCGGAGTCAGACGGAGCGACAACCCCAGCCCCGGTGCTGGCTCTCCTGGCACAGCCCGGCCCCCAGCAGCTTTGCCCGGCCGTGAGCTCAGCCCGAGCGCAGGGACCCGCTCGGACACGCGGGGTGGCGAGCGGAGAGCCCAGCACAGCCCGGGCAGCCCCAGCCCCGGGCAGGACGTGCCCGCACGGCCCCGCGGCCAAACGTGCCGAGGGTGCGGGGAGCCCGTAGCGGACCCCGGGAATGGCTGTGTCCCTGGAGGGCTGTGCCCCGAGCTGGGTGCGCCCCTCACCGCTCCCCGCCCGCCTCCCCGCGCTGCTCCCGGAGCGAGCCGAGAGCGCAGCCGGGACAGGGAGCGCGCCGGCGGCTGCGGCTGCCGTCCGGCGGCAAGAGCCCCTCATCCCGCGTCCCCGCCGCCGCGGGGCGAGCCAGGCGACGCTGTCCGGCCGCGGGGGCACGCGGACGCCCCGCCGGCCGCCGGATGGGCGGAAACCGCCGCTCCCCAAAGTTTCCCCGGGCACTCACCGGCGGAGCTCATGGTGCTCCCCAGGCGCGGAGCCGCGCTTCCCCTCGTCCCTTACGCCACGGCCCCTCTGAGGGCCGAGGAGAAGGAGCCCATTGTTCCCCCGCGCCGCCACCCAGCCGGAGGAGCAGCCGGAGCAGGAGTAGCTCCCCCCGCCCGCCACCGCCGCATCCCACCCCGCGGCCGCGGCACACGGAGCGCCCTCAGACGCCGCCCGCCGGCGCCCCCTACTGGCCACCCCTGCCGGGTCTTCGCCCCGCCAGGCCTTCGCCCCGCCCCGCCCCCGCTGCCCCCTCCCCCGCCCCGCCCCTGCCCCGTCAGCCCCGCCCACTTGGCGCCCGAAAGCGGGCGCTCGCTATGCTTTCTGGGAGCTGTAGTTCTCCCCGGCGCCAGGCCGCGCCCGGCGGGCGGGGCTGGGCTAGGCGGCCGGCGGCACGGCGGACTCGGTTTCCCAGCGTACCCGCGAGGAGGGGGTGGCATGGCGGGCAAGGATGACACCGGAGTTCGACGAAGAAGTGGTGTTTGAGGTGGGCGCGGGGCGACCCGGCGCGGGCTGGGCCGGGTGCCTTCGCCCCTCGCTGCGCCGCGGCCCCCGGGGGGTTGTGCACCGGGCGGGCCGGGGGGGCGCGGGGCGCAAGGCGGGCGCGGGGCCCGGCCCAGGGCAGCGCCTGCCGCGGGCGGGCAGCGTCGGGCGGGACCGGCGAGAGCGGCGGGTCGGGGCGGTGCTCGGCGTGTCCCGCGGTCCGGAGCAGCCCGGGGCCAGCGCCGCGCCCTCCGCGCAGGCCGAGGGCGGGACGGCTCAGCGGGGCCGGGCGATCCTTTGTGCGGCGGTGCCGCGCCGGCCGGCCCCGCTGTCGGGCGGCCGCGGTGGGAGGTGTCGCGGGGCCCGTGGCGGCGGCGGTTCCCCGAGAGCCGCCCGTGAGCACCGCCGGGCTGAACTGCGGGGTCAGCGCACAGGGAGTGAACAGCTCAAAAATTCTGCTTCTGAGTCGGGGTCACTCACGGAAAAGGTGTCTTTCTGCACGCAACTGTGCAGCGAGCACTGGAACCGCTTTATCTCTGTAGTGTTTGTTATTACTGGCTTTGCATAAACAGCGTCTAGTTATATCACGTCTTGTTAGAGCTACAATATCATCTTGGCCTTATTGAAATAATGGTGGCTAAATATATCAGCTGTTGCCGTTCGGTAACAAAATCCAGTCTGTTTGCAGCGGGTGAGTGTAATTGTATCCTAATGGAGGGCGCACCTTGTGTTGCAGGTGTACGAAGTGGTTATAAAGAAATGCTGTTATAAAATTAGTAATTATTATAATAGCAATAAGGCCTCTCCTTCAACCAGGATGCAAAACGCTCCTTACATAAGCAATTATTTTTTTCTCAGCTGTGTAAGCAGTATGTCTTTAGTCTTTGGTCCATGCCACAAAGTTTTGTGTTCATCCACAACCAACCTCGGATCCTAACAATAAGATTTATTGTTTATGTTGCTGATACATTAGTTGCTTCCTTTCATACTATTAATCTGGGGCGAGAATTTATTTCACAAGTATAATGCCTGCCCTCTGCATTTCTATCTTCAGTAAAAGTGGTACTTGTTTTACAGTTTCACAGTTCTTCAGTTCATGCAGCAACTACCATTTTGATTGAAAAATTTCTGCTGCATAGAGAGTCAAAGATCTCCTTGCATATGCTCTTCATTATTATCCTTGTGTTTTGGGAAAGGACTTCCATCACTAATAAAGGCTCTTGGGTACATTTACTGTACCAAGTGTGTGTGTGTGTGTGTGTGTGTATGTATCCATGCACACTTACAGGTACTCTGAATGACACAGTAGCAGATCTGTCATATATCGAGGTACATCGTAATAAAATCAGAAAAGCAACAGTAGGACAAATACAGGCTGTTTGGGTTGGCTGATTGGCTGGACTACAAAACTGGGTGGGCTGCCAACTCATAAAAATGGGTACTGTGAAATACACACCAAAATTATCTTCAGGAGTACTCAGCAGGGTTTATGTTATTCTAAAATGAAGCTTCCACAGAGCATTATGAGCATACTTCACACACAAGCCAGAGATAAGAATTGGCAAGGAGCCAAAAAGTATTTGGGTAGTTAACGTTACAACATACTTGTATTTTAAATTTTTGTTTTCTTGGATCTCAAACTCTCCCCCTTAATTATTTGCCATTTCTGGTGAGCAACGACATTTTTTTTCTGCACCTCAGTAGGTCACGTCCCATGTTCTTCAGCAATCACTGTTGCAAGAAGCTTTTAGCTTTTAGACCTCAGTTGCTGTGAACAGCTGCTTTCTCTGTGCATTTGGAGCTCCCTTCAGCAAGATACCAATGGATGTTATAAGGGGTGGTGGTGTGCTAAAAAATATGTAATCAGGAAAGAAGTGTCTTTCACTTGCCTCATACCAAAAGGATGGAAGCAAATGAGGTATACTTCACGTATTCCAGGTTATTTTTTGCATGTTTTTTTGGGTCATAGCTCCATCCAGCTGGCCCTGAAGACATCAATAACAGGTGTCCACATTAAAAATTTTGCACCATCAAACAGATCATGGCCTGCTGATAAATATTTCTGAGCTTCCAAGGACCAATCATTTTTCTCACTATCCAAGTATCTTTTACATTAATTTATCTTTGAAGGCAAAGAAGCACAAACACCTCATTCCTGCTCTGGGAGAGCAGTGTTTTCCATCAAGTTCAAATGCCACTGCAGATCATCGTGATTGAACAATAGTGAATGATGGGCATTTACTCTGTCTACTAAATGCTGCCATATTCTGTCCAATTTATAAATTAATTCCTGCAGCAGCCAGCAATTTTTATTCATTGACTCATTAGTCCCAGCACTTCTGTTCTTGCATTTGTTACAAGCAGTTTCTCTTCTAATTAAAATACTACAAACACAGTGGGGAGGAACAGAACTCAAGAAACACAGAGGTGCCCCTGATGTGTTGGGCCTGGCCTTGTCTACCCAGTAGCATGACAAATTAAAAATTGTGGCAGTGTAGAGTAGATTGTACTAAACAATGGAGGAACAATAAATGGTGTTCTTTATTAGTGTCTGTCTGAATTTATTAAGGGAGATCATGAGATTACAAATTGATGTTAAGTTGCTTAAGATGAGTTTTTATACAAAACCTGGAAGACCACCATGCTGCAGTTACAGTGTATCTTGGAATCCTCTGCAAGTTTTCAGCATTTTGTGGATTTGTATGAGACTGGAATTGTGTTAGGTTTTTTATTGTTGTGTGGACAATGTGATCTCCTTCTTGGTTTTTTTTTGTTTTTTTTTTTTAATGTATAAATTAAAGAAGCTTCTTGTTCAAACTATCTAAATTTCTTCATCATTATGCCAGTGGAGGGACTGTGTCAGGACTTTGATGATTTATAACTGCTACCTAATTTCTGACTGGAAATTTATTCATGGCCACTTCATACCTACTTGCACATCTGCTAATATTTTCCGTTATCTTATATAGTTCTTATCTGTCTCTAGAATTTACAGAATCACAGAAACATTTAGGTTGGAAAAGACCTCTGAGATCAAGTCCAACCTTTGACTGATCACCACCTTATCAACTAGGACCATGGGCCAGTTGTTTCTTGAACACCTCCATGGATATTAACTCCACCACCTACCTGGGCAGTAGTGCTTAAGCCCTCTTTCTGTTAAGGAATTTCTCCTGGTGTCCAACCTGGTGCAGCCTGAGGCTGTGCCCTCCTGTCCTGGTGCTGGTTTCTGAGAGTAGAGTTTAACTCATATAATATGATAGGGTAACTGCTCATATGTGTCCTTGATTTTATCAACAGCTTCCACATAGTTGGAGACCTTACACCTCTGTGTAAGGTCTTGCTGTTGTCTGTTGTTAAATTGCATGCCATTATCAATACTCACTTAAGGCCTTCCCGTTCTTTTTCTATTATGTTTCAATCCTTTTCTGCATATATGATGCTGCTTGGTCTTATCAGGAAATGTCATTAACAAGGTTTTTGATATAAGTTTAATTATGGCAAATATCAAAGCTTTTAAAAATGCAAAAGCTTTGACCAAAGACTCATTCCTCATGAACTCCATTAGTAACCTTCTGATCCAAGCGCTTTCCATTCAGTGTAGACCACTGTTATCTCCGCCATCAACATACTTGGTTCCTTTCCCATCTTTTTTATCTAACTGATATGGCACAGTATCAAAAGTCCATAACCATACAGAATAGCGTAAAAAGTTGACATAAACTTCCTGCATTTCCTTTATCTAAAAATTAGCTGTCTTATCGAAGAAAGATGTCAAGTAACTTGGGTACAATCTACCTCTGGTGAACCAGTGTGATATCTTCTTTGATGATCATTTGTTTTTTTCTTTGTCTTTGAATTTTGCAAGAAAGAATAATTATTCTCAGTAGCATGCAGGCTTTTGATCAAATTCATAGACCTGACATGTTCTTGATTGCTTTTTCTCCTTTTAAATATAGGCACTATGCTTGGTATTTTTTCTGCTTTTGAGTTTATAGATTAAAAATACTTTCTGCTGCATCTTTCATCTCCTGTGCCCATTCTTTCAGAACACTGGGATGAAGGTGATCCAAATACTGCATTTTCAGCTTCCAATTTCTGTTTTCAGCTGTGCAATTTGTCCTATATTTTAATGAGTGCAAGCTTGTCTGCTTTTTTTTTTTACCTTTGGACAGATATTCAAGCTGTGCTCACAGAACCACAGAATGTTTGAGATTGAAAGGGACCTCTGGAGATCATCTGGTCTACTTGCTCAAGTAGGGTCATGTAGAATCAGTAGCCCAGGACCATGGTCAGATGGGCATCTTCAAGGATAGAGAGAGATCTCACAGTCTCTCTGGGCAACCAGTGCCAATACTCAGTCACTCTCACACCAGAAAAACATCTTGATGTTCAAAGGGAACCTCATGTGTCTCAGTTTGTGCCCATTGCCTCCGGTCCTGTTCCTGGGCACCACTGAACAGTACCCATTTCTCTCCTCTTTGCACTCTTTCTTTGGATATGACACCCACCCTGAGGTTTCTCCAGGCTCACCAGTCCCAACTCCTTCCTCAGTTTCACCCAGACCACTCCTGAAATCCCAGAAAGTGATCCTTGCTGTGTCAGAGCAGTTCTGGTAGAGGGGTTGTAGTTGACTTTGTTTTCTGATTTAATCCTGTGTATTTAGAAGAAAGTTACTCAGACTGCACAAATCTATGATTTTGACACACACAATATCAAACTGACACCACCTTAGATTTTTAAGGGCTTTTGCATATGTAGTGTTTGAAATACAAGGCTTTATGTCAGAATTATGTACATGTACAATTGTGCAATACTGAATTTCATTGGCATAAAATTTCCATTTTTAAAATTTTTAATTAGGAAAGATATTTTCTCACTTGAGACATTGTTTTAATTCATTCATGAGTCTTGTGCCATTCCTACAACCAGTTTTGCACATATTATTTACTTAATATTGCTATTCATCAGCTATTTCAGTACTAGTAGAAATTACATGTTAAA